GTGCGTCAAATGACGATTTTAACGGAATTTGGTAATTTGCATATTTCTTTGAAATAAAAGGATATTTTGCCAAAAAAACTATCCAGTAGTTTTTGTCATTCCCTAGCCTATCTACCATGAGAATATGAGCGAAATCGAATTTTCGACCCTTGACGAGTTATTTTCCATTTTTATGGACAGGGACTCTTAACTGTTTCTTAAGTTGTTCGCTAAGTCGCGCCCAGGAGAAAAGGAAGTAGAAAAACCAGAAAAATAGAATATGATCTGAGGAAGGGAGTTCCAATTTATTGTAAATTGTAAGGTTTTATTTAATAGCCAATCGTAACTAGTCGCACTGTCATTTGCCAAGGTATTGACAGGCTGCCTGGCCAATTTTGGTTTTGTTATGAGCAGTACTGCCTTCAGCTACTTCTTCGTCACTCAGATGCAGACGGTATTTCAGTGTCGATCACGTGTTCTTGTTTGCAGTTCAAGGTGTTTTGTCCGCCAATGCATGAAATATTCCCCGTTATCTGTGCCTCTACGGCCTCACCCTTTGATTTTCTTTAGGTCCTGTGTTATCCGAACACCTTGCCGTGCAAGCATTACCGTCTTCCATTAAGAGGGGTATTACAGTTAATTTGAGTGGTGAGTGCTGCTTTTTTGTATGTGTAGAATAGTTGTCTTATGGTGGCATATCCTAAGGTGGTATAGGGAAATCGTTTGGGTGAGAGTAATTCTGAAAAGAGCTGCTGTCACAGAGTCGTTATAGTGCGACTTTGCTCACTGCTCAAGTCTACAGGTCTTATCTCTTTTGAACTCGCTCTCATTTATTCATTCCTTGATAATGGCGTCATGAGGTCGCCGAAACGTCGGGGCATTATATCGTTAGTTTTTACTTGTTTATGGACTTATGGGCTTAGTAAGAGGTATTTGTGTCTTTCTGTGTCACAGGCGGAGATGAATGGATGCGGGTTGCTGAGGCATTGGACTTGAAGCCGGCAGAGATTCGTTATTTAGACAAACGTGTTGTGAACCCAATGGACGCGGCTCTGACTTATGCTACTCAACAGTGCCCCATAACTGTGGGTGATCTGTACGACTTGTTAACCAGATGTGAAGTGCCTGTGATAGCTGACCTTCTGTAAGAAGGTGACTACAGACGTATTTCCGCTCGAAACCAGGAAAAGGTTTTTTTTTTTAACCAAAGGAGAGTATGAAGTCGCAGTCTTGAGTGTATCTCGATTCTTCGATGCGCCCATTTTATGTTTTTGTTAAGCTATGTTGCGATGCCATGTAATGTTTTAAGTGTCTAATTGTTCAAAACACGAGGCCGTAGGGCCTTTGTTTCGTCCTGATGTAAACACGCTACCACGTGTTTTCTCAGGTAATTCAGAGAAGAAACTCCAGCTGATGCAGTAAGGGAAATTTACACTGTATCTATAGAAGAAACCAAACGCAATTCTTTGCAGGTAGTTAAGTGCCTGGTGTTCAAGTACACTGGCAAATTGGACACAATAGTACATTCATTTATTCAAAAAGTAATCTGTTCCACCACATTTGGTCGGACAAAGCCGCAACTGAATATAAAAACCGTGCGAAGTGCTTTTATGACAAAATCGGACTACAAAGTCGTGGTAGGCCAACAAAAAGTAGAATTTTGTTTCAAAACGATAGAATTACAAGTAGGTGTAACGCCACCAGGGTTAGTCGAGACTGGTGATAACATATATCTAAATATAGTAGATGACATTTATTAAATTCAGGCAATGTTAAAAGATTAGTGGAGGTATTAGAACTTAGTTGTTTCCGATAGCCTTATACTGATAAGATATAAAAGACCAGAAATGACCCAAAAAGGGAAGTCATTAAAGTGATCCGTTTTTAGTAAGTTAACAAGGAGGTGATAATGTACAAGAATAAGCGTCCCCTCTTATTCTATAACAGAGAGTAGGTGTTCCCTTAAACTGTTGACTGTCCAAAGCATTCGTAGCTTTACTGGAAAAAGACTTCAATTAAAATATTGGTCAATCATTGCAGACTTGCCACAAGTCGACCTCATGAGTTTTACACACACTTTTACACACTTTACTTCAGTTACATTTAGAAATGAATAAAAGTGTAAGACTGATCCGCTAGTAGCATTAGGCTAATCTAGGCGGATCAGCTATTATCAGATTACTCATGTTATATTAGTTAAATAATGCATTAAAAACAACGAGAGTGACGAAAATAGAAAATATTAACGTTACTTTTCAATTAGTTCTACGCTAGATAAGTTAAAGAATATAGGGTAAAATAGCAAAGCGAGCTGCGAGGTTTTAGGCCGCGATGCGGGTCGAGGGAGCGACAAGAGGAAGGACTTTTCTGAAAGTCTAAAAATATTGCAACTGTCTGAGATAGGATAGGCATATTAAAACTGATTGATCTGCTGTTTTACTCTTTCGTTCGTTCNGGTAGAATAGCTAAGCGAGCAAAGCGAGCTGCGAGGTTTTAGGCCGCGATGCGGGTCGAGGGAGCGACAAGAGGAAGGACTTTTCTGAAAGTCTAAAAATATTGCAACTGTCTGAGATAGGATAGGCATATTAAAACTGATTGATCTGCTGTTTTACTCTTTCGTTCGTTCGGTCGTTCGTTCGATCGTTCGATAGATTTATTAGCTTATAGTTAGAAATTGTCTCAAAATAAATTTGTTTTCAATTTCTATAATTTTCCGGGTAGCGTGTGAGGGAATGCATGTTAAAGTAGCATAGAACCCGTTTTTGAATGATCAGAATCTTCATTAATTTAAGTGAGTATTCGAGGGCTAATGTCACATGAAATTGTATCATGAATAAGGTACAGTTGATAAGAGAATTTGTAAAGTACACATGATGGGCGCCAACCGCGGGAAAGCGCATGTGACCAAGTTGTTTTTAGTGTTGGGTATCAGATCTATCGGTTAAATGGGCGAGTAAAGCAAAACCAAGGCAATTTCGGATTACGATCAACACAGGCCATATCCGTATTCTAGGTATTGGACTGGAACTAGCTTGCAATGGAGGCTCATG